AAAACAGCAGCCTTGTGCCCTCCCTGGATCCAGGGGCCTGTTTTGGCCAGGACCCCCTTCCCAGGAGGAAGCTGCAAATCTCCAGTCCTACCCGGCTCTGACACCACCAAGCAGCAGGGCCCTGCCCAGGGTGCTCTGTACAGCCCCTTGCTGCAGCCACCACCACCAGGTCTCCCTCCAGCTCTGGGTGAGAGCTGGGTATGGCCACCTCCAACCCCAGGGCCACCAGCCTTCTCCCAAGCTCCAACCCTGCAGCACATGCTACCCAGCATATTCACCTTTCCATCCTCCTTCACCCTCCTCCTCCGCTCCTCGAAGGGGCTGGAACGCGCTGAGTCGGGGGTGAGGGTCTCAGTGCTGCCCTGGGAGGGACCGGCCACTCGCAGTGGGGTGAAGGATGACATCAGTCCCAGGACCCCCGCCTGGTGCGGGGCAGGAGTGGAGACGGGAGAATAGCTACCGCTGACACCTGAGGCAGCTTCAAGAGAAAGAGGGTAAGGGGATGAGGGACCTCTGCTTCCCTCTCCAAGGGCTTCATCTTGTGCACTTGGTGACAATAGAACCCCTGTCCCAGGAGAAACATTTCTGCAGGGACAGCTTTTTGCCAATGCTCAGGGGTCCTTGTGGGCATCTCAGCAGATCCTTGGAGGGAGGAACCTGGACACCTCACCTGCAGCCAGGCTCTGCCAGACTGGGACTCAATGCTGGCCACTTGTAACTGTCCCCCTGTGGCCACTCGTGCTGTCATGGGAAGCCCAGATCAGCGCTGGCTGGTGGCTGCAAGAAGTGTCCCACACAGCCTGGGGACAACAGCCATAAGGGCTTCCCACACCTGGGAACAGCATCCACCTGCTTGTGCAGGATTGTCCCTGTGAACAAGCACCCACAGTGTCACTCCTGTCCCCCTTGATGGCTCCTGCTGAGACTAAGAGCCACCAAGAACAGGAGGGCAGGAGTGATACCCCTGGGACTGACCCCCAGCCCATCCCAGCCCACCATTCTTCCCCTTCCCTTACCAGAGCTGTGCCGGGAGCGGGAGCTCTCCTGGGGAAAGCCATCGGTGCTGACCACGGAGTAGCCATCGATCAGCTGCCGCCGCCGCCGCTGCTCCTGCAGCTCCTCTTCCCTCTGCAGGTCACTCCGGATCTCCTCCTCGATCATTGCCGACGTCTGGGGCTTCCAGGTCCTCAGCTTGTACTGCTCCTCCCGGCCATCATCCCTCCTCAGCGGGCTCTGTGTCCCCATGTTGTCAACGAAGGAAAACTTGGGATTCCAGAAGGGCAATAAGAAGTACTCTCTGGGCAGGGGAGCTGAGCTGGCAGGGCTCAGGGTGGAGCCAGGAATCCTTCCGCCCCTGGAATCCTCACTCTCTCGTTTGCTTTCACTCACAAAAATGCGCTGGGACACCCGGGGCTTGTCCTGGCTCTTCTCACTGGCAACAAAGCGTGGCTGGGAGACCTGGAAGTGTGTGATGCTGGCCGTGTAGCTGGGAATGCTTCTCCCGCCCCTGGTGTCTTCTACAGGGTGGGGGCTGTGGCTTGTGGGCTGCTCCACCACAAACTCATTAATCCAGCTCCGCTGCTCACCTGCCTTCCTCACAGGGATGGGCTTTTGTGGGGGAGTTTCCTCCTGCTCAAACACCCTCCGTCGCTCATCCAGCTCCTGCTGTGTCCCCCTGTCATAAGTCCCCGGCAGCCTCCCTTGCCTCTTCAGATCTTCCTCACGCTTGGTTTCCTGCTCAATTTCCCTCTGGACGTAAAAGGAAGCACGGGCTTTGTCCTTCCCTTTCCTGCCCGGGCCGGGAGAGGTGTGCATGGAGAGGAGAGGCTTGGTCTGGATCTCCACCATCTCACTGCTGGAGGTCAGCCGCTGGATCCCTCTCTCCTTCCAGAGGTTCTCCTCCCTCTCCATTGCCATGCGGATCTCCCGCTCAATGGGCGTCTCATTGCTGATCTTCGTCTCCTTGTCTGGGCCGTTGCTGCTGGTCCTCAGATCCACAAAGCCATTGAAGATCTCGTTGGATGCACTTCCATTGCTGGTGTAGCCTGTGCTGGCTTCGTTGTACATCTCACCCAAGCCAGAGTCCAGGTCCTCTCTGGAAAATCCTTTAGTCAAGCTGGATACTTTCCCAGTGGGATATGACCTTCCAGTATCAGCCCTTCTGGGACCATAAACCTCCTCCTTCACAGGCATCTTGTAGGACACATTATAAACCTGGTAAACAGTCTTGTCTGTCCTGCTCTGGCTGGGTGCACCAGCATTACCGTAACCTCTCACAGCCTTTATGGGCATCTCAGGACTAGGCCACTCTTGCCGAGAGACTTTTGTCATTGTCTCTGGCTTTGGAGATGAGACCTGTTGCCCTGGGCTGAAAAAAGAGCCTGGGTTGGTCTTCTCCAGCATCAGGAACTGCTGCCGAGCAGCAGAGAAGTTGATCTGCTCTGTGTCAATATTTTCAGGGTCAACTGGTGTCACTGCCCTCCCTGAGGAAGGCTTGTCAAAAGACACAGTGAAGATGCCTGTGCCAGTGTTTATAGAGCTCAGCTCATCCATGGAGCTCCAACGCTCAGCTGTGGTGGAGCTCTTCCTCATCACCTGGCTCCGGATGATCTCCCTCCTCTCATCCTCCAGCTCCCTGGCTTTCTCAGGTGAGATGTGCGGTGGAGGGACCCTGTACTGATCCTGCTCATCCTCATCGTAGAGCTTTGAGGGCTTCCTCTCACCTCTGTAAGCCCTGAGGTCATACAGGCTCCCCGATCTCACCACCTCCAGCTTGGACTCCCTGTCTGGGGATGGGGTCCAGACATCTTTTCCACCCTCCAGGAAATACGAGGGTGACTTTGACCTTGTTTTCCAGCCATAGCCATGTTCCACCCTCTGGCTGCTACGTTGAGCAGAGCCGAACACATCATCATCACTGTTGGCCCTCTGCTCTGCCAATGAACCACCCTGGTGAGCATCATGGTAGTCGTGCTTGTGTGAGGGCTGTGGGAGCTGGAAGACCAGGTGCCTGGTGACTCTGTCCATCTCTGGGGAAGAGGCAGCACTCAGCCCTCTGCCAGCCTGGCCTGGGGACACTGCTCAGCTTCTTGCTCAGGCTCTGGCTCACCTGGGATGGAACCTGCCAGCCCTGAAGGAGAGAGAGTGACCATCAGTGGCCAGAGCGTGCGGCTCCTGTCCCAGCACTGTGCTGCTGCCCTTGCTCAGCCTGTGACCAAGAGGGACCTGTGCCCTGGGGACAGACACTAACACCAACTAGCCATGTCATTCACTCCATCTACCCAGACACACTGGGTTGTGGGGCAGGAGCAGCCAGAGCACAAAGCACAGTTCCCAATGGGAGCTGCCCCAAAGCCAATATCCCCCTCCCACCTCTGCCCCAGCCTGGCCGGGTCCTGCTGCGTCCGGCTCAGCTGCACCAACCTCTGCCACGGCTGCAGCACTGCTGCCCCCGGACCTTACCGGGACCCTGAGGGAGCCACACCGGGAGCATCAGTTCAGGCAGGGAGAGGCAGCGCTGAGCTCAGCTCTGACTGGAATTTCTCCTGGCGCATTTACGGGAAGGAGACTCCAAACACTCGCGCTATCGAAACAGCAGGGGCCATAAACGTGGTTTCATGGCCCATAAAAAGGAGGGGACTTTGCCCCCCGTGTGACGCAAAGCAGGTCTGAGCTGCCCCGACCTTGGTGTCAATCATCCTGTGCCAACTGGGCCAGAGCCAGATGGGGACAGTAGTATTGGTGCAGGAAGGGACAGCAGCTCTCACCGTGCCACAGACACCATGCCCAGCCTGGCCCCGGCGCCAGCGAGGCACACGTAACCCCGGGCGTGCCCTCGGGCGGGGAACACATCCCCGCCCTGTTTGCCGAGGCGCAGCCGCACCCCTGAGGGCAGCGCTCCCGGCCCGGCTCCCTGAGCTGGGGCTGCCCCAGCGCCGGGCACCAGCAGCGGGGACACGGCGGTGCCGGGGCAGCCCCGAGCCCGGGTGCTGCCCTACGGGCGAGCTCGGGATCAGGCTCCCCTGGGCAGAGGCAGCGGGTCCCTGGGTCCGGAGCAGCCCGGCTCATCCGCAGGGCAGACACGCTGTGTCCTGGATGTACCTCTATCCCTGCAGGGACCTGATGACAGACCCGGCGCCCACCTCCTTTCTCTGCTGGCAAAGGGGCTGAGCTACAGCTGTGGAGACGTTTAAGCTTTTCCTGGGGTGGGGGCAGCTGGGGCTCATTAGGGAGCAGCGGGTCCCTGGGTCCGGAGCAGCCCGGCTCATCCGCAGGGCAGACACGCTGTGTCCTGGATGTACCTCTATCCCTGCAGGGACCTGATGACAGACCCGGCGCCCACCTCCTTTCTCTGCTGGCAAAGGGGCTGAGCTACAGCTGTGGAGACGTTTAAGCTTTTCCTGGGGTGGGGGCAGCTGGGGCTCATTAGGGAGAGTTGGGGCTCATTGGGACAGCTGGGACTCGGGGCCCCGCGGCGATGCCCGGCTGGAGTGGTGCCAGCCC